AAAGAGCATATTGGTTTTTTGTAGTGCATATCTATATATTCTCTCATATTATACGTGGAACAAGTTTTCCTTTGCTCCAATTTTTATAATATCCATTTAAAGACATCAGCATAAGTTGAAAACTATAAGAGCTAGATATAATATATACAAATGAAGAATGTTTCACATTTTGGATACTTCCTTCCAGTTTCGCACAAAATTGGAAAAAACTGATTTAACCTAAAGCTGAAGCCTTGTTCTTTGCTATACACTAGATACTATATGCCATTATGCCATTATGCTCTATAAAATTCAGATGGGACTTGAAGCACCGAAGTTTCTCAAGAATGCACTTTCCATGAACAGTGCGGGGAGGCAGAGGGAAAAGGAAGAAACACAGGAGCTGCATAAAGTGCTTAGTTAAAAGAGGTAGGTCTTTAGCTTAGGGTATCTGCCAGTCGTGCACTCCCGCCTTGCTATACTTGTATTTGTTATTCTCGCTCCCGACAAGTGCAGAAATTAAGAAATTAATGCCTAATAACAAGCCGCATTATGTGTGTACTCTACAATGATGCGGTACAGCACAGTTGCTTAGGGTTGCCTCCCTCCAAACACTTCTGTCACGTCGATAAGCATCAATGTTTTGCTCTGTCCTTCCTTTAAGGTGACTCCTTTCCCCCTTTCCCCCTTGCTGCCTGCTGTGCTGCGCCATGTCGCTTGGTGTCGTTTTTATGGCTGCACTTTTGTGTTCGACACACGCTCCTCGGACGGCGGACTGCAACCGGGACTCGCATATTTCATTAAATGGAAACGGGCCCGGGCGAGCCGATCGGTTCAGGTAGAGCTGCCCAAACAGAAGCTCATTTCTGGCATTTTGTTAATGCGTCTGCCCGGCCTGGCCCGGCCTGGTCTCAGCTGCTTGGTATCTGCTGCAGCTTATTTATGGGTTTACATTAGGCTAAACCACTTTAGTCACACTTTGATGATCAGGCCAGCGCCCTCTCCCAAGCTTTTTGGGTGGCTCAAAGCAAAGCTCGTGCTCATCATAACGATATTGCTGTGTGGTCCCCCCTTCCACCCTCCCCCCTTCGAAAGTCCTCAATTGCAGTTGATGGATTTGAGCGTGGCATCGAGTGAACCCACCTGCTTTGTTGTCCACTCGATAAAGTCAATTATTAATTTGGTATAAGCGCAGACAAGCGACAATTTCGTGAGTCACCCGAAAAAATAAAAACACAAAATAACATAAAAATGATAGCGAGAGCAGAGACGGAGGCCTGCACCTGAGCTGCTGCTCGTGTTGGCGCCGGCTTTGGACGCGCCAGGTGCGATAAGACAGCATTCTTCTTGTGCCCCAGACGCCGGGCAGAGGGCGAGACTCGCCGTGCTATTTGGTACATTATGGCCCTCTAATGCACACACACACACAAACACACACACAACACACACACAGGCAGACAATTATAATTAGTTTATTCATATCCTGTGTCGAAGTCTCTCGGCAGCCTCATTTGTTGATGGGGCAATCTTAATTCAATTTACTGCCCATCAACGACAATCACAACGACTCACGATTACCCTAACCAAAAGAAACTTTTTGTGGGCAAGATTTTTTTAGCCCTGTTATTGTTTGTATTATTTTTATTTTCATTTATTTTTATTTATTATTCTTATTATTATTTATTATTATTATTAATTATCTATTATTTTATTTTATTTAATTTTTTAAGCCTTTTCCCGAAACTTTGCCCAATTGTCAATATCTGTTATCAGCTATTCTCCAAGGTATTTAAATGCCTACTCAATTATGTAAAAAGTTGCGACTTTTAAGAAGTTGATTTAAGGCATCGGTGTAGACAGACTTTATTTGCAATTCTTGGTCCTCCATGGTCACTTTAAGGGTACTCCACAGAAGACAGAAATCTATTTGCATCGTCTTTTCAGACCTTAGCCTGTCCTTAAGCACTTACTTCCACAAATTTTCATTTTCTGCCAATTAATGTCCTCCATGGTCACTTTAAGCTTGGTTTACTATAATAATATATGTTTTTTCTAATATTATTTCAACAGTTAAGCCTAGACTGAAGCATTCACCTTTCTCAACAGTCACATTCTGCTAATCCCTGTCCTCCATGGTCACTTTAAGCTAACTCAATTGCATTTAGAGAAGTATCTCTTAATACCCTTTCAAAAACATTAGCTAAGAACGCACACAAATCCATTTAATACAACAATTCTCTGTCCTCCATGGTCCCTTAAAGCTAGCTAAACTTTTTACAGAGAGCTGTCTTTTAACATAAGCTAAATTATATACCCAAATCCTCGCTTGGTCACTTTACATCTAAGTTACATTCGTAAAGGGTATTTGCAGTTCGTTGTGGCATTGAAAGGATTTTCTCCTCTTGTTTTTCTTTGCGCCTTGGCCACCCTAATGGCAGAGTTGTCGACGGTAGCCAAAGGTAGTCGCCGTTTCAGGCTCCAGTCACTCTGTGACTCAGGTCCCGGGACGTTCCGGGTAGCTGTTGATGTGGATGATGCGAGGCCAATTACTCATAAAATGCATGTTAAAAACGCTGACCAAGAAGGAGCTGGTGGCGGGAGAAACGGGAGGAGCGGGGGGCGGCGGCGTGAAGCTGTAGTCGAACAACTGTTGCTCGACGCCTGGCGCTGGCCTTCTGCTTTGTTGGCTAAGTTTAGTGAGGCTGGGACAGAGACTGTAGACGGGAGGCTGAGACAGAAAGCGAGAGACTTGGTGCATCCGTGTTTCTGCCCTTTGTCATTGTCTTGTACGCTTTGATAAGCGGACGGAGACGGACGCCGAGCAATTTGGGGACTGTGTCTGTGCTTGATATTTCATGTTCGCATGTTCCATTTGGGCCCGGACTTTTGGCTTTGGCTTTGGCTGGAATTAATGAACCATATGCACAGCTCTCAATGAGCTGGCCGGGTTCGAACCCTGGCGCCAGTTCTTATCGCGGCTCAAAGCTGAGAGCGTGGGTGTTGGGCCTAGTTTCTGCTGTACAGTGTAGTTCTAGTCTCCGTCTCTCTCTCTCTCTCGCTCTCTGACAAATTGGGAAATGTCTCGTGTAGCCAGCACGAAGAGGGAATAGATAACCAGGCATTGTATCTGTTAGATACGAACTGCAGCGAGACGCTATCTGTGGACAAGTTTTAATTGTGTGTTGGCCTAATTGAATTGGGCTGCAAATACCTCAATTGCTATTTTGGCGCGGAACATATTTTAATTTAGCCCCCAAAAAAGAAAGAAAGAACTATCTAATCGGATGCAAAGATCTTTGTGTGCACCCGATGCTACCTCATTGATAGGGCCGACAATTTGCGTCACAGTCTAAACGAAATTGACAAGTCACATGCGCATTATTATTAATTAAATCACAGCAAAATTATCGATTATCGCCAGGAAACCAAAACTCGTCAAATACTCTCCAAAAAAAAAGAAGAAGTAACAAGTAAGAGGTTCTATTCGGGAGCTCCCGACTAGGGGATACCCTGAACCCTCAATTTCAGACAGGTGATAAGTATAAAATCAAAGATACTATATATATATATACTATTCTAGAAGCTACATGTCAAGTTTGGTGGTTTTAGCTCTTATTATTTACCAAAATTGCTCAAAAACAGGATTTCGATATCGATTTGTATCGATTACTTGGAAACGGGGCAAGTTATCGAATATCGGAAACAAGCTCGATCTGCGCGGGCACTAGGAGGACCTACAGCCAATATTTTAAGTCTCTAGCTCATATAGGTTCCGAGATCCTTGCATTCATATATACGGACAGACGGACGGACAGACAGACGGACATGGCTAGATCGACTCGGCTGTTAATGCCGATCAAGAATATATATACTTTATGGGGTCGGAGATGCTTCCTTCTGCTTGTAACATACATTTGCACAAATACATTATACCCTGTTTTTCCATTTTCAATGGGTTGAGGGTATAAAAGCGGAAAGAAACGGAACCCACCCTTGAGCTGACGTTGATATGACTTGACTTATCTAAAACGTATTCGTACTCGTATTACTCGACTGACCCAAGCATATCTCAGCCTTTCGACTAGTTTTTTGACATGATTATCTCGTTGCGATAATTGCGGCCGGTTAATTTCATTTATTTTGTTGTTGGTTGTTGGTGTACGAGTGGAAATTTCATTGCTATTCGATTAGGCAAACATTTTGAAAACATCACAATGACAAAACGTGATTTATTTACCAACGACTCAGACGCTGACAATATTTTTGTACTCTTTAATGGTGTTTAATTAAAGCCAATCAGCGATAAGCCCATCGTCCTATCAGCATGTGGCATAGTCCGTAAATACCCAACTACGGTTAATCAAAATAAAAAAAAAAAACAAAACTGAAGACAAAAACGTATAATAATAATAATAATATTTTGTCGATTGCTTGGGCCAGTTAAGGCCTGTGCTCGTACATGGCGATACGATATGTCCAAGTGAATTAATCAAATTTAATGATATTTAATTTTCGTTTTCTTAGTCAAATTTTTTGGGAACGAAACGATTACCCGATTACTCGACTTGTGCAATATATGTTATATTATCGGATCGTTACGAAAACTAGGTTATTTTGTAAGACAAATATTGAATGTATGATGGTATCATAGCGAGCGAAGGGGAGATAGAGCGAGGGAGAGGGAGAAGGAGAGCATAGACTAAAGTAATTGTGATTATGAGAGATCTCACAGTTCTTATAAGAATATACCTTATTCCGATAACGATATTTCTGCTTAAAAGGAAGATTACAGTTGATTATAATGTGGGTTAAGGCTTTTGTGATATTTATATGTTATTTTCTTTGGAATAAGCGTGAGTTATGTGTATATAAATCAAGTAACCAATATAAGCTACGTATTTCCACAGCTAATAGAACTAAATGTTTATCCACAGCTTCCTTGGGAAATTTAATTACCCTGTTTTGGCAAGCGGGAACAACAAAGCTTCTTACTCCATGAAAAAATCGCTTCTATCATCTTTAAAGTTCTATGCTATACAACAATGAATTCGTCTTTCAACCGAATTGGAAAACTTCACTTGGAAAATGGGCCGGGTAAGTTTGACATTTCATTATCTTGTACTAGATATAAGTAGATGTGGGCTTTCCCGCTCTAGGTAAGCTGTGAATATGCTAATTTTCTATTCCCAAACAAGAAACTTACAACTTCATTTAAAAACTCGTTGGGTGGAAAATGGGTGAAAACTCAAATTAATTTATATACATTTTAATAATATATTGAGTATTATTATATTATATATATATTTTACCTTTGAGATATTGTTATTTTTTAATTTATATTTTTTAAAGTTATTTTCAAACTAATTTTGCGCTTAAAAGCGAATAACTTACCTTCTTCTTCTTCTTGTATTGACTGTAGCTGTAATGTAGAGTTGTGACTATGCTGTGATCTTTACTCGGTTATCGTTATCGTTATCGATATTGTTAGTTTCTTCTGGTTTTTTTTTTCGAGGAACTTTGGCGAAACACTCACAACCTGGAACACCTGCCGACGGTCTTTGCACAGAAGCCCTGTTTCAATTGTTGCCAAGTCAACAGCTACTCGAATAAATTGAATATTGCGCTTAGATCAGCACGTTATTTAGATCTACAATTTTGGTTATAGTTTTAGCACACACACACATATACACACGCACAACTGCGGATAAACGGCACATGAAACAGACTCGAGAGTCGAGCGCGACGACGACGGCTTTTGATGACCGGGCTCCGTCAGTGCCGCAAGCGAACTACACAAAGAGCAGGCGGCGGCTGGCAGCGAGGCCGGTACAAATTTCAAAATTTTCAGGTGGGCCGCAGACGCCAACAACCGGTTGTTTGGTTGTTTAGTTGTTGGAGAAGCTGCCGCCAGCTGCTGCTGCTGGACGGACCGTCAGTGTGCTGAAGCGAGAGAGCTCGATGCGATCGAGGCAGGCACGATCGCAATGAACGGATCGCGTTTGAGGCAGGTGTCGGGCCGGCAGGTGAGCAGCGCTCCGCCTCGCTCGCTCTCACTCTCCCTCTCTCTCTTTCTGTTTTGTTTGCTGCAGTGCGAGCGAGAGAGCGCATGCCGCCGCCAATCAGCATCGACCTATGAGCGCTCGAATAATGGCGGCTAACCGGCCCGCTGCCGGCGCTGTAAAGCTGTAAAGCTCTCTCTCTTTGCAGCCTTGCCTCTCGCTCGCTCTCGCTCTCACTCTCTGTGTATTCGCTCTCACATGTGTGTATGTGTGTGTGTGTGGAGTGGCACGTAATTGAATAAGCCTCGCACAAAGTGCAATAAATTTGATTAGCAAAATGGAAATTTATTTTCCCGACTTTTGTTTGCGTTTTCGCATGCGTTTTCCATCGATGCATTTGCAGCTCTTCAGCCATTTCCCTTTGCTCTGCTGCTGTTGCGGCTCATAAATTAAATAATTTACCTATCACGCATATGCTGAGAATTGTTGTTGTTGTTCTTATTGTTGTTGGATAGTGTTAAGGGCCTCGTAAATGACTTTGTTGGTTTATTGAATCCAACCGCGGGACGACTGTCAAGGGTCTTAATTGCCTGATATGGTCAGAGAAAGCGGCAAGCTGGGCAAAATGGTGTTAAGCTAAACGGGCATTAAGTATAATAACTATGATTATAAAGGTAACTAAGAAAAAAAACCTTTGACATAGCGTGGCTGCAAAATTTACCCTACCTGTAAATAGCCGATATTGATGGCTGATTCTTGGTATAACTAATAAAACATATAATTATCAAGTAAGAGGTTCTAGTCGGGAGCTCCCGACTAGGGGATACCCTAAACCCTCTTCTTGCAACAGGCGATAGGTATAAAATGAAAGATACTTAATATATATATACTATTCTAGTTTGGTGATTTTAGCTCATATTATTTGCCGAAAATGTTCAAAAAACAGTATTTCGATATTGATTTTTATCGATTACTTGGAAACGGGGCAAGTTATCGAATATCGAAAACAAACTCGATCTGCGCGGGGACTAGGAGGACCTACAGCTAAGATCCTTGCGTTAATACATACGGACAGACGGACGGACAGACAGACGGACATGGCTAGATCGACTCGGCTATTGATGCTGATCTAGAATATTTATACTTTATGGGGTCGGAGATGCTTCCTTCTGCCTGTTACATACATTTGCACAAATACATAATACCCCTTTTACCCATTTTCAATGGGTTCAGGGTATAAAAATAAAAAATAAAAAACTAGGCTCATTTGAATATATTATATTACTAGAGCCAACTTGGTTTTTATACCAAAAAAAATTTATTATTTTTTTCCTCTTCTTAAAAGTTTCGAAAAGTTTGCTGCAAACCCAAAAATTTTTGTTCATGCATTAACATTGGAATATATTTTTTTAAATCTTCACTTTTATTTGATTAACATATTTATACATATACCATCATCTGTTTTCATAATATGTACATTAGTTTGACTCAGTTGTCATTCGTTTAGGAGATACTTATATATATATATAGGTTTGATTCAGTTTTGATGGATTTGGGTACAATCGCCATATTTTCGTAGATCTTAAGCTCTCAACTCCCATTTTGATCTCCTTCAAGATAATTCCTGATAAAATTAACCTACTTAACCTTGCTTGAACTAGGCTTAAGATAGTTCCTCTTCCTTTTTGGCTTATCGTTATGTAACCTTAAGCCTTAAATTAAAAAGACTTAACTTACTTAACAAAATTTTACTTAGTCACATATGACTATACGCTTCTGATCTTCTCAAATTTCAGCATTATAATTATAACAGTTTTCGAGTTACAAGCTTGAACTGCATTTAAACCATTTTCTAAGTCATTATCGCGCTGGTTTCCAGACATCACTTCTCCATATGGAAACACTTTGTAGATAGCTTCTTTGTCTAAATTGAATTTAATTCACTTGATATATATGTATATATTTGAATGCCTGCCGCTGGGCTATAACATGATCTCTATGATTATTTTGTTTGCTGACCATTTGTAATCATTCCATGCCAAGCTAACTACTTCATTAAACCTCAACCCGGCACCAAGCACACAGCTCCATTTAGCTGCAACTGCTGCAGTCTCCCTTCCTCCCTTCCTCTCTGTGCGCTTCTCGGCCGGGCAATAAATAAAGTGTTAATGGCAATTGCATACAAATAGTTTGGTGTTGCCATTATATGGACATATTATAGGTATTATACCATTGTCGGGGGCCCATAACAAGAAGTAAACAATGCGACGCTGCAGTCGCTGCACTTGAAGCCAATTTCACGCTTCATTTACAGGCGAAATGCAAACAAAACGGCCGCTCGACCGGGTTCGAACTTGGGTTCGGGCATGGGCACGGGCACGGGCACGGGCTTGGGTTTAGGTTCGGGTTCAATGTACAGCAGGTCGTCTGGGGAAGCTATCTGGTCTGGCCCGGTCTCGTAGCGTCCCCCATGTGGCCGTGTCAATCAGCTCGTCGCGCAAGGTGTGCGCTCTCATTTTGGAGTAGCTGCCCAGACGCTCTAGTCAGTCCTGGTCAGTCCATATGCTCTGCTCTGTCCGAGTCCCAGCTCGACTTCGACTTCCAGTTCGAGTTCGAGTCTGTGTCCGCGTTAGAGTCGCGCATGCGCGCACGTCCTAATGTAATTATTATCTCAACAATTGAATTTCCGGTCTCGGTCTCTCGGTCTCGTCTCTGGGTCCGAGGCTTTGGTCTCTCTACCGTTTCTTCATCGACCTGGGGACAGATGTCGCGCAAAACGTTACAAATGTGCACTTAATTGCGCAATTAAATAATTTTATTTCTGCTGCGCGTTTTCCTTGCCTTTTCCTCAGCTTTCCTCGGCGCGCGCGCGCTCTCGCTCACTTCCAACTGCACATTAAGTGCCAGTTGATGTTGAGAGACCGGGTCCGGGCCAAACAAATTGCAGCTATGTGCATCCATCCATCCTCTCTGTGTGTGTGTGTGTGTGCCTTATCGCCTGTCCGAGGCGTTCTCTTCATTACCAGGCCACGAATGCAACTGCCAGATGGAATGCTGCGAAATAGATCTCTGTGCTGAGCATATGCCATTCTATGCCGCATTTAAGATGAGCATTAGGTTGAATCAAATACTCTTTAAAATCATTCTTCAGAGCAGACTTATTTAAAAGGATTTTGACCAAGTTTTTTAAAGCAAACAAGGCAGGCTAATGAGCTAATGGGAATCCTTGTTGAGGGTGTTGCAGAGAAGAAATCAAGGCACCATGTTCTTATGTCTAGCTAGACTTATATTCGCATCATGTAATTGCGTCTATTTAAGGTTTCGACTTTTATTCCTGTTTCACTTAGGCTATAACATATTTCTCTTCTTCTCAGCGGAAGAGGATTTCCTTTTATCTAGTCGTTAAGTCTAAAGAATTAATCCCATATATACCATACGCACATTTTGATAAGGTACTTTTTCAAGCTTTACATTTATTATTCTTATATCTTTCCTGAGTGACTGGCAGAGTGATTGACTGACTGAATGACTGATTAACTGACTGATTGGTGACAAGAAAGCAAAATAGTCATTTCCAATGATCCTTATGAAAAATTATTTGAGACGTGTTTCACACTTTTGCATAATCGAAGCGTCTATTATTATATATTTATTATATTTGAATATTTTCCATTCGAACTAAAAGGGTCAAATTATTAAATTGTTACAGCAAATATAACTTACTAGCTGTGGAAGTATTCTATAGCCCCTTGCCAAATGTATGTGTGTGTGTGCGTGTGGGCGTAAGTGTGTTAGTGTATGCATGCATGTATGTATGCATTTATGTATATATTTATGCATACATGTTTGTTTTCTAATACTATTGCAGACCAAGCTTATTTGTCGCTGTGCTGCAAATTTCAATAAAACGAATTTCTACCAAGTGCTCTCCTCCTCGATTCTCAAGAATTCAAGTAGGCTCTGCAGTTTTTCATGCTAAGCTAGTAGTGAAGTGTTTATTTTTTATTTATTTACTTTTCTTTTTAGTTTTGTATGTATTTATATATGTATGTATGTATGTATGTATGTATGTATGTATGTATGTATGTATGTATG